GGCGGCCCCTGGGTGCCTGGTGAGGCGGGACACTGAGGACTTCTCCTCCTCCAAGATCCTGGACATCTCACTCTCCTGACCCACCGACTTGGGGGAGCCCGAGCGCAGCTCCTCTGAGGAGATGCTCAACAACTTCCACGAGGTCAACAGCCCCGACGCCATCTCCCCCAACCAGCCTCGCCCGGCCCAGCAGCCCCGAGTCCTGACCAACGGCAGCACCCACCTGCCACCCCACTACGCCCAGTCTGGGCAACATATGTATGTATGTATGTATGTATGTGTGTGTGTGTGTGTGTGCGTGTGTGTGTATGTATGTATGTATGTATGTATGTATGTATGTATGTATGTCCAACCCAAGATTTAAGATTTCATCTCTAACATGTGGCCTGTCCAGGGTTAAGCAGAAGGGCTGGCATGAAACATGCGCTAGAGTAGGGGTCTCCAACTGTGGCAACTTTAAGCCTTGCGGACTTCAACACCCAGAATTCCTCAGCCAGTTATGCTCCCAGGAATTCTAGAAGTCCAGATGTCTAAAAGTTGCCAAGTTTGGAGAGCCCTGCTCTAGGGCAAACTGTCACCACATATGGGGTGCTTCAGAAGCTAAGAACAGTTTCACTGGATCAGGCCAAGGACCCTGTTAGTCCAGCATCCTGTTTTTCATTATGGCTGACCAGAATCCCTGGGGTGTCCACCAGCAGGAGATGGCCAACCCCCTCCTCCCACAGAGCTCTGTGCCAGCAATAGGCATCCGGGGACAGGCCAGTAACATGGAGGCTTCCAGGTCAATAGCCCAGGAATTCATCCTGTCCCTCCAGGCAGACCAGACCAGGAAATCAACTCCCCCGAAAGGCTAAAGCTGCTTTGAGAGTAGGATTGCCAGGAAAAGCAGCCTTTCCATCAACCCTTTTGCTCAGCATATCATTCTCCCAAGCCCTTCGTGCTCCTGTTGGGTTGCCAATTCCAAAAGCATCCTCCTTGTTAACACACAATACTACCAATTCACACCATTCAAAAAGCACTCCCAACCACCACCACCACCCCCTCCTCCTCTGCCCTCTTAGATGATCAAAGGCAGGTGCTTTAATTAGGCACAGATCTTTCTAGTGTTTCATGACATTAAGCCCGAAACCTCAAGGTTACTACATCATCCCATGTCCATCAGGTTACTTGGTCCCACAACCACACCTTAACTCCCTTTCAGGGAATTAACATAGTCCCAGAGATGGACTTTGTGATCCAGGGCCAGGAATTACATAGGAATGTAGCTCATCTCCAAGAGCTGAAAAAACAATGATAGATGTCATAACCTCCTCAAAGCCTAGAAATAAAGAATGAGGGATCTCGTTGACTTGAATCTCTCCAGATGCAAAGGACCTCCCTTGTTCCCTTTAAGACAGGATGGGAACCATGGCCATTTTATGATTTGTGGACTTCAGCTCCCAGAATTCCTGAGCCAGCATGGCCCTTTTACGGCTGGCTCAGGAATTCTGGGAGTTGAAGTCCACAAGTAATAAAAGGGCCCTGCTTTAAGAAGACTAGTCTTAAAACAACTTATTTGCTTGAATTTCTTAAACTACATTTCACCAAATACAGAAGAAAAGCAAATTCAGGAGAAATACCTCTGAGACAATACAACAAGCAGTAAACCATCTCTTTATATTAAAAATAGTATACATTTCTCAGACTGTAATACTTTAGATAATATTTCTCTTTTTTGTCTTTCTCACTGACAATTGTAAGTCCGGCATGTTACGCATCAGGTGACCGACTTGTCTGTCTGAACTCTGAATAATGGACAATACCTGAAGACAGCAGAAGAGAAGAGAAGGAACTGGGGAAGATCACAAAATACAAAGACCTGCAAATAGAAACAGAGCGACTGTGGCAAGAGAAACAAAGGT